TGAAAGAAAATATTTTCTCTCGTTTTGGCATGCCCCGGGCTATGATTAGTGATGGGGGAAAACATTTTTGTAACAAACCCGTTGGGATTTTGATGAGAAAATATGGTGTAATTCACAAGGTGAGTACCCCCTATCACCCACAAACTAGTGGCCAAGCTGAGTTGGCAAATAGGGAGATCAAGAACATTTTAGAGAAAACAGTCAATCCAAACCGTAAAGATTGGTCCCTACGACTAGTTGATGCTTTGTGGGCATATCGCATTGCTTATAAGACCTCTTTAGGAATGTCTCCTTATAGGCTAGTTTATGGAAAGCCTTGTCATCTCCCTGTTGAGATTGAGCACCGTGCATATTGGGCCATTCGGCAATTCAATGACAATGAAAACGAGGTTGGCATAAATAGAAAGCTTCAATTGGATAAATTAGAGGAGTTGAGAAATGATGCATTTGAAAATGCAAAAATTTCAAAACATAAGATGAAAACTTTGCATGATAAACATATTCTTAGAAAATCCTTTCATGTTGGTCAAAAGGTTCTCTTGTATAATTCACGATTACATCTCTTTCCTGGGAAGTTGAGGACAAAATGGATTGGTCCATTTGTGATTAAATCCATTTCTGAGCATGGTGCATTTGAGGTAGAAAATCCCAAGAATGGAAATATTTTCAAAGTAAATGGTCATCGATTGAAACCTTATCTTGAAAACGTTGTGGCTGAAGTTGAGACATTGAATCTTCAAGATCCAATACCATTGTAGTATTAGAAGTAATGAGTTTTTATTTTTATTTTATTTTTATTTTTATTTTTCATTTTTATTATTTTTTTCTTCTTTCTTCCATCTCTTATATTTTCTTGTTCATGCATTTGGGACAAGGCATTATTTTAAGTTGGGGGGCGTGAGGTTCTTTATTTTCAAAAAAAAAAACATCAATGTTTTCTTTTAGTTGTGATATGCTGCAGGTTAAAAAAAAAATCAAGCAAGAAGTCAACTCATACCTAATTCAATCAGACATTCATCCTTGAAAACAGAAGGGGAGTAACAATTTTCTAATCTTTATACTTTTCTTCTCTTTCTCTTTTACATTGAGGATAATGTAAAACTTAATTTTAGATATTTTATTATGTTGAATGCTTGAGATAACCATGCTTGTTAAAAAAAAAAAACTTGCATTCGTATATGAATGAGACTTGTTTAGGATCATCATTACATTTTTGGATTCATTATTATGTTGAACATTGCATGCTTTAATTTGGGATAGATAATATCTTATAAAGCAACATATAACATACTTTTTTTTTAGATTACTAAAGTACATATTTCCTTGTAAAAGTTGTGTGATTATGCATGAAAGATGAGTATGATGCTTTACTTATGATTATCCCTTTTGATCCAGTCCTAAACAAGGTTTAAGTAAATAGAGTAATAATTATTACACAAATAAATAAATAAATGTGTACAAAGTTCTATCTACTCCAATGTTTTGAGTTGCTCAGTAACTAGGGGTATTCATCACAAATGTTTATCTTTACGTCAAACGGCAACTTAAAATATGAGTATGCAAAGCACTTTAAGTTTGTGACTTTGTGAGTAACCGGGTGCATTCATCACAAATGTTTGTATTCGCATCAAAAGGGAAGTGACTACTTAAAGACAAAGAATAAATCATATCTTCAAAAAAAAAAAAAAAAGAAAGAAAAAAAAAATATAGATATTTCTCTAGTTTGCTACCTTGTTTGTGTTGGTGAGAAGGGAAGATTACAAGTTGAGTTTTCATATGAATCAATTATGTTGGTTGCACGATAAATATGACTGAATTTGGAAATTTTGTATGGATGTTTGATTTAGAGAATGCGAGTATGCTTATTTTTCTTTATTTGCTATTGTGTACACTAAGTTAAAGATACCAATGTTTGCATGATAGGTCCTTCAAGTGTGATGAATCGAGCCTAATTAGGATTGTTATTATTCTTTTTATTTCAAAGGTTTTATGTTTTGTTTTGCTTGAGGATTAGCAAAATCTAAGTTGGGGGGTGTGATTGTGCATCAAAAGTGTCATTAAGTCTCTTATTTTACATATATATTTATGGTTTTTATTTGGTTTTTTTTATAATAATTGATGTGCTTTCCAGTAATGAAATTTGTTTTAATGTTTCGATAGGTTTTTGGAGTTTAAATGAATTAATTCAGGAAATTCAACGTCGGAATTCAGAACAAAGAATTGAAGAGACATTTAGTTGAAGATTGAAGCAAATCTTGGTTCAAATAAGTGCTCCAAATTTGTCCCAAAAATCAACTCTATTCCAATTCTAGAAAAGAATATCATATGATCTATTTTAAGCCCAAACTTGCCTTATGTTGTGTGCAAACTTCAACCATTAAACACTCAAGGTTTCAATGTCAATCTTAGCCCAAATAATAGGTATATTTGTATACTTATTTGATGCTTAAATTCAGCCCCAAATTAGCCCAAACACAATCCATGATCTTACATGTCCACACAACAACAATTGATTTATTTTGGGTAATCCATTGATCCAAGAAGGCAAGCAGATGGATGGAAAGCTGGAGGGGACATTTTTACATTATTTTGGGTCAAAAAGAAGAAAGAGATAGCTCATAAATGAGGAAGAAAAACGTGCACCAAAGTGGTTGCAAAGCTGTCCTGATTTGATTTTTCAGAATGCCTTTTGGTGTTTTGCCCATAACTCTTGACTCAGGTGTCCAAATGAGCTGTTCTTTGATGTTCTAGAAAGGTGACAGAATTGCCTATAAATATGTCTCTAATAGACATCTCGAGAAAAGGCTTTTAAGGGGGTCTAAATTGCTATCCAAAGTTAGCATCAGATTTGTGTCTGAATTTTTATTGAAATTGTGTTGTGTTCTTCTTTATAGATTTCCGTTCTTTAGTTTGTAAAACTTATTATTTAAGTTTAATTCAAGTTATTTCATGTTTATTGAAGTGTTCTTATATATAATCATGGTTGGCTAAACTCTTTCTTGGATCCAAATCAAGGATAATGGTGATTGAGATGAGTTCTTTAGGATATGAATGAATCTTAATGTTTATCTTCTCATTTTCTTCATGAATGATTTATTATTGCAAAGAAATTTTAGAAATAATTTAGGTAATGTTATAATCTTGAATTTTTATGCACAAACTTTAGTTTTGGTATAGAGATTGCTTGATTCAATGTCTTACTTAATATGAAAGTACTTGTTCATTCTTAAGCAATAATCAATCTTCATCTTTCTAAACTTCATTGTAATATCTTCTGATCTAATATCACCATCGTTGATATTAGGTTGTGTTATCTTATATATGTTGAAGAAATCACCAATACATCACCATTAAAATTGATTTGGACCAAGACTTACCTTTTCTTGTCATTTAAAATCTATTTACACTTTTTCATCTTTGAAAACAAATCCATCAATTATTTTCAACCAAGTTATTGTTAATTTAATTTCTCTTGAGTTTTTTTTTGTTACTTAGCTTAATTTCCAGATCTAGCTCTCTGTGGATATGACCTCGATCTTACTGAGTTAATTGCTACATCGCACACTCTTGCACTTGCGAGTTAAAACAAGCCGATCATAAAAAGCGGTCAAGCAACAAACTCTAGATTTTTAAGTAGAGAAACATCCTTTAGCAAAGGAATTAGTAAAGAAACAAGTGAAGAAACTGTAAGGAAAAGAGAGGGAGAGGTTTGACTATATGTAAAGGCGTAGGAGCTAAAAATTTTCAACCAAATTAGAATTTAGATCTAAATTTTCCTCTAGGTAAGGAGCCTCAAACCTAATTGTGAAAACCAATTGAAATTCAATTAAGAATTGTGCATCAATTTTGAAACTTGAAAATTAGAGTTCTTATGTAAAATTTAAAGTAACTATAGAAGTTGTTGAAATTAGGTTAATTGAAGTATTATAAGTTGCCTTAACATGAAATGATACAATGAGTGAGGGTAAGAAGAGTTTTACAACATTAACAATTATTTTGATTGATGATGTAAATCATAATTTCCAAAACAATGTAAATAAAGTGAAAAAATAACTAAATTATAAAAGGGTGTGGGTAATTTTTTCTTAAATAAATTATTTACAAATATTAACTTAGACTATTTCTTATTTTTAAGTTCGAAGAAGATTTTTTTGGCATTTATCTCTTGGCTTCTAAATTTAAATTTTTATGTGCACCAATACATTTTTTTCTAACATTGATTTGCATAAGTCTTTTAGTTCATAATAAAAAAAATTCTTCAAGCTAAAAATTTTATATGACTGTACTTGTAATTATGTTTTTTTTTAATATTTTTTAATCCATCCGATATCATATCAACAATAGATTTGCTAGTTCATTTTTAAATCATATGGAGTTCGTCATAAGAAAAAATAAGCTAGATGAAATACACAATTGTCATGCACCATAACTCTTAAGAATATATATATTACTTTATATATTTATGAACTTGTGATCCAAATTCTAATGCATGTCCATATTAATCCAAATTACATGTAATTATAATTTTTCTTAAATCCAATTCAAATAAAAACAAAAGATTTAATTATGCTGTGTTTGCGAAGATCCGGGCGGGACCTCACCTGTAAATGTTGTCTAATCATTTTCACAATTATCTTTTGCTTCTTTTCTGGAGTGGTGGGTAATTATTTTTATTTAAAAATATATAAAAATAATATTTTATTATTTTTAATATTAGAATATTAAACTATTCAAAACTATTAAAAAATTAAATTTAAATAAAAAAATTATGTCAATTATTTGGCATCTTCGTTATGCACATACACTATTTGTAATGCATTTCCAAACAGTTGTAATAAAGATGACCGTCTCTGCATATGAATATTTACTCTGTCTACGGAATTGAAGTTTGTGCCAAACCACAATAGTATAAAGAACCCCAAAGGGCTAAAGCCTAACATACAGCTAAAGTTATTCAGGTTCTCCATCTCTCGTTACTGAAAAGGCAAAACGAAAACGATATGGTCTTGGAGAAAGAGGAAGACGCTATAGAGCCCGTGAGTCCTACTGGACAGTACTGCAACAGCTCGGCTCTAAACGTCTCCGTTCTTGGTGTTTTCGAGACTGAAGTTCCCATTGATGACTCAAAAACTATCTCTTTCCTCACGGATGTTTTTCTCCCCATCAACCCACGTTTCTCACCCAGTCAAGTGTCTGAACATGTGTCTTACTACTTTTTTTTTTTTACGGGAAAAAGCTGCAGTACTATATATCATTTTCAACAAATAACAATCTCACTCCTGTTCAAAGACTTGTTGCAGTACTATATGTCGGCCTCCAAATCCAAGCTGTTCATTATGTTGCCGGGATCTCCTCACTTGTGTCAGGTACATTAACTATCTGGATTAATTCAACGGGATCCACGGCAGCCTAGTCATAAGCTTACTTCTTCAATCATGCTTCCTCAATAGCTATCATCAATAATCAATAGCAAGTACACCATTTATCTTATCCAATACGGTGTCTACACTTGACATCTTATTTTATACTCTCATTCTAGTTTTCTTTACTATATAATATTTTTTCTGAATTTAAGTATTGAAAGATTTTTTATGGTAAAAGAAAATTTGTTTTTATTAAAAAAGTGTGAAACAACTAAGCACAAACAGCTTATCAAAAAAGAAAAGAAAAGAAAAACTAAGCACAAACACATGAGCCGAATGTCAAATGATACTTTCATAACTAGCTATTTCCTTGATCCACTAATTGAGCAGGTGAAGGTATGATATTTATTGTTCTTTCTAAATTTTTTGGATCAATTAATGCATTATGCCTCGAATATATTTCTCACTAGAAAACTGTGCTTTTTAATTTTTTTTTCTTCTTTGGATAAGTAATCTTTGACTCAAATAGTGAAAGTCTAGATACAGGTTATTGATGAGAATGGTGAAAAAAGATGGAAGAAGGTGGAAGTGAAGCTCAAAGACCATGTTTATGTCCCCATTTTCCCAGCAGAAATGTCACCACAATTTTATGACAAGTACGTCGAAGATTACTTCTCAAAACTATTATTGTCACAACTTCCACAAAGCCAACCCTTATGGGAAATTCATTTCATCAAATATCCCACAAGTAATGAAGCTGGCACTGTAATATTCAAGATCCACCATTCAATTGGAGATGGTTACTCTCTTATGGGGGCTCTTCTTTCATGTCTACAAAGAGCTGATAACCCTTCTCTTCCCTTGACACTACCTTCTGTCGAACCACGCGTAGACACATCTGGTGATCATGATACCATCTTTAAGACTGTGCCCAAGATTCTCTCTTTGATGTTCTACATTGTGTCTGGTTTTTCAAGAAGCCTTATAAAGAGCAGTTTAGTTGAAGATGATCTATCTCCAATCCGATCAGGAGATATTAGAATTGAGTTTCATCCAATTACTCTTACCTTGATGATATTCTCTCGTGGTCAAATTAAACAAATTAAGACTATTTTTGGTGTGGTGAGCTTACTAATACAACTAAAATATTGATGTTTTTTTCTAAATACAAGAGTATCGAAGTAATAAATAACCCGGTAATACCAGGGTCGAACTACAGGAAGGTTAATTGTATAAATTATAGATAATAATAATACAATAACAACAATAGTAACAATAACAATAACAATAGTAGTAGTAGTAGTAGTAAAGAAGAAGAAAAAGAAAAAAAGAAATTGATGAGAACTTTGAAATGAAAGATTAACGTAAGGATTAAACAATGATAACAATAAATGTGAAGGTTAGAGGATCCACTGATGGTATATCAAACAAGTATAGTATAAACTCTTATTATTCAATTGAAAACTACACACAAAGGAGGTTCCAATCAGATTATAAATTGTTAACATGATTACATTAGTTATTTTATTCTATTAATGCTAATACTTGTAAATCTTGTAAGGCATTCATGATTATAACTTATGTTAACAACAAATCAAATTCCTTTCATAGCTTAGGTGTCGGTTATACTATACAGTATGGGCTATGAAAGTGTTAAGCATTTGTTGTACCAAGTGTTATACAACATAAATCTAGATTAGTCATTTAACAAGCAAAGTATTAAAGAGTGAACAAGATAACAAATACAAAACATGTTAGTATCAAACATTAAAGTCCATATTAAGTTTACACTATACTTATTATTATACCATTAGTGTAACCTTTTCACCTTGACATAATAAACTTAGCTAAATATAATGAAAGAAAGAAAAATAAACAAACAAAATAAGAACATAAATAAGATAAAAGTTAACTACATAAAGGAAAGGAAATGAAAGGCATAAACTTGATATTAATGAAAGCAAAACATAAGCAATACAAAAAATACAAAGAGAGAAAGCAAGAGCATGATCTTGATTTGAAAACCAAGATGCCTAAATGCATGGCAAATACCTCTTTTTATAGGCCAAAATTAGGAACTATTGATTTGATGACTAATTGATGAGTGGGTGGCCAACTTTTGACTTGGTGACAGTCCTTATCTTCCCTTGTCTACACAAAACATCATTGATAACGTCAAAATTAGAACTTGAAAACATGAAAGTTGTAGGAAATTGTATTAGCTTTTTAAGGTAAAAAATGGAGGTCATTTAGACTTTTAAAACTCCAAATATGGGTCAAACACTAAATAATGCTTGGACTAGAGGACAAATTCAGAATTCTTAGTTGTTGCTACAATTTGGCCTTGAAAATGGACTTTTTAAATCTTGGGCTGATATGAAAGTTGTAGGCCTATGTCTTACCTTTCCATCCATATAAATTAAACCTAAATCCGAGATCTACAGCTCCAGATATGACCTAATTACCGAATAGTATTCTGGTTTGGACTGCACCGACATCTCTTTTCTAAGTTTGGTCATCTCTTTGTCCTTTCAATTTTAGTTCTTAAATTCATCAATTAATCCTTTTATTTATGTGATAGGCCTGCATTTAAAATGAATATTTACCACAAATTAAGGGTATCTTATATTATTAGATATGTTATTATAAAATATGTTTTAGTTAAAGAGTTATTGATACTTTAAGTGCAAAATGATGATATAAAGCCTTGATAAAAATACACTTTTAAGTACTAGACACACCCCCTAACCAGCTTATTATTAGTCCCTAGTAATCAAAGCGTTAAAATAGAAAAACAATTTGCAAATTCCACAAAGCAAGATATTCATCATTCAACTTCCATTAATCTATCTAGATAAACAAACTCTTATTAAATTTATATATCTGCTCAATACCTCTTAAACAAGATATTAATAAACCTTTCTTTTATGCTCATATATCAACACATAGTTATGGGTCTTTACTTGGAAGAAAACAAAATTCTTGTTCTAATGTTTAAGGTTAACTTCCTTGGGTTGAGATTTTTTTTTCTTTTTTTTTTTAAAATATATATACATATAACTTAAAACATAATGCATCTTTAACCCATGTAACGAGCTTTCGGACCAGTTGATCTTAAGGCATTAGGTGTTGAGACACCCCTACGAGCTTAGTAACTCGGGTTGCAAATATTGATACGTAGATAGTGCAATGTTTAATTTCCTTTAAGTTTTTCTCCTCAATCCATGTAACAAGCATTTGACCAATAGCTCCTAAGTCAGTTGACTTTAGGATATTAGGTGTTAAAACACCCCTTCAGGATTAATTACTTAGGTTAGGGAGGCTACGAAACCAAACTTATCTATATATTTATTATCATAATTGTTTTTGCTTTTTTTTGTTTGTTTGTTTTTTTGTTTTTTTTTGAAAATTATATATTATCATTTTCCCTTAGTTGTTACCTTTAATAAAAGAACATAAATAATGTAATAATCCAATGTGCAACCCACAATCATATGTTAAAGTGTGTGTGTGAAAATGATGGTTTAAGAATACATGTTAAATGAGTATATAAGTAGAATTAAGTGATAATAATATGATAGTTTGTAAACCTGAATATCTTAAGAAGTATTATAATAGACCTTGTTAAGAATGATTACTAAGATGCGTCTTAAGAGTTACTTTAACAAAAGAGCTCATTTACTCTGTCATCCTAATAACAATAATTTTGCATATGCTTTATGAAATAAAAAACATAGTTAGTTATTTTTTTTTGTCAACTACTACCCTTTCCCCCAAACCAAAATGAGACATTGTCCTCAATGTCCTAAGGTAGAAAGATAGAGTACATAAAACATCACTTCAAATAACAAACATTAACAAATCTGAAACACACTTAAACAAATATAAGAAACAACAAAACATAATAATAAAAGCAAAAGACAAAGATTCACAAATGAAGACTTAAATCTAATCTAAGCTTTTTACGGCTTTTCTTAGATGACCAATTTATACGACTCATGGAGGGATCAATTATAGGAATGAAAGATTATAGTTGGTCAATCAATTGTTCAGCAGTAGCAGCAGAGATTATGATTTGTTGTGTAGAAGATGTTAGAAATTCATGTTTCACAGCATGATCAAGAAAAGATAACGACTTATCATAATAACCATTAACATTTATCAGACCTATGAGTTTATGATGAATGTGCAGTTGGGCCCAAGAGGAAATATAAAAAATCTCTTTCAATGTGCCTAGACCATCTGGTAAGGCAATGAAGGTATCAGCATGGTTAAACATTGCATTTATTCGAGCAAACATTGTAGAGACTTGTAATTCGTCTCTAATTGTTTTTCTAATGATGTCCCCATATGCTAAAGCTTCGGGGATGACCCCCAAAACTTGACTACCTCCTAAAAATACAACTATTGACACACCTCCCATTAACCCAAGACTGCCTCTCTCATATACTAAATGAATCTTTCTCTCAAGTAGCAACTGACCAAGATGATTTGCTGATTCTAAAAACTTCTTTTCTTTCCCAGGATTAGATCCATCAAAAACATAAATATTTCTTATGTGATGACTTGAGAAACTTGTCATTTCTACATACTTCTATATTTGTTAAATGTATAGGTTGAGTAGAAATGAAGAGAAGGAAGAAAGGATTTTATAGATGAGAAATTAAAAAGGCAATCATACCACCTATATGTACGTTAACTGGAGTCTCACACACACTCTCTCTCTTTATTTATTTATTTATTTTTGAAAAAGCATGTGTATGTACAGGTAGTTATGATTGTGACTCACATCTTCCCTTGGTTTTACGTTCAAGAACGACTTAAATGCCCTCTATAGGTTGGGGATAGACTTTTCATCCAATTTTCTTAAAAACTGGCAAACAGGGTCTTTTTAGTCAGATTCCCAAGACTAAGTTGATCATGTTCTTTAAGAAAATCAGGCCATAAATCATGAATTGCATGATGCACATCTTTACTAGGATGCATCTCAAGAGTTAATAGAAGATTATCTAAAGACTCCTTACTCAGGCCATCCTTAATGAATTATATTTTATCTTCACGGTTTATAGATATCATTCCTAAAAAATGACATTGTGCATTACAAGTCCATCCGGCACATCGATAACAGACTTTCAGTTGTTTTGCATGACATTTCTTTGCAAAAGTGCTTTTACATGTTCCAGGCATGTGTGAAATGAAGGAATTAAAGGACTCACCTGATAATCGGACCTCAACCAGTGAATATCTTCAGGAATTCCATGATTTATTAACAACCTCAATCTTGCACATCTAGCACAGTAAATTTTTGTAATCACATTCTAAGACAGAGTGGGAAAATACCTTTTTAATTTTTCAAGATTAGTATCGATTTGCAAATGAGAATTGGAAGAGAGATTCCAAGAATTGCATAAATATATACACAGATATGAGTTATTATGGGAAACTGGAAGAACCGACTTAAGTCACGGAGTACCGTTATCCACCATTTAACCGGGATGAGAGAAACTAGCAAAAATCACTCAAAAAGAAACACAAAAACAATGTGAGGAGAAAAAAAATCAATCTTTATATATAGGATCACCCAATTCAATAGAGTCATATTTAATTGAAAAATTATCAAAGTAAACTTTCAAACGATGTCCATTTACCTTGAAAAGATTGTCATTCTTTGGATTCTCAATATCACAGGCCCCATATGGATACACATATTTCATAATAAAAGGATCACTCCATCTTGATCTTAGTTTTTCAGGAAATAAATGTAGTCAAGAATTATAAAGCAAGACGTTTTGACTAATATTGAATGTTTTTCTCAGTATTTTTTTTGTCATGAAACTCTTTGATTCTTGCTTTATGAATTCTTGAATTTTCATATGCATCATTTCTTATTTCCTCAAGCTTATTTATTTATAATTTTCACAATTCATTAGCATCATCAAGATTTGAATTGAAAGCTTTAATAGCCCAATAAGCTTTATGTTCAAGTTCCACAAGCAAGTGATAAGGTTTTCCATAGACTTGTCTATAAGATATACCTAATGATGTTTTATAAGCAATTCGATAAGCCCAAAGTGAATCATTAAGTTTTAAAGATCAATCTTTCCTATTAGGGTTCATTGTTT